ACAATAAAGATATGAAACGAATAAACGATTAAGGAGTATTCATATTAAGGAGGCTTCGTGGCTAGTACTATCTTAAATAACAACTGCATTCATCCAGGTTTGATTACGATAAGAAAGATTAATTGCTGAATTTCCCCACAGATATCAGAGTAGGCCTCACGGTTCCATTGAAAATCGCATAGCCTTGTTTCCAAAATGGTATTTTCGTCCAGATAAGCTCCCAGGGTAGGCCTAAATTAACATGTTTCCTCTCCCCAGGAATGTTTTACTGTCAACATAAATGACTTTGAGTATGGTGAACATGTCTCATGACATCGAAGTTAACATCGTCAATGAGAATTGCTAGTCTTGTCTAGTTGAAGAGTTATAATTTGGTGCAACGACTGAGGCTGGCAAAATGTCCAGGAACGCACCAATCATACAGGTTAACGCTGGAAATTGTCATGACTAATATTGTAGATGACTCTGGGAAGGCTGCTTTCACCTAGGTCTCACCAAAAATACGACTAAATTGTGAAAACGAAGTCAAATCATTTCCATACAAAATGTTTCTAAATAATTTACTATCAATTACTAAAAAAATGCCGTGTGATTATCGAAAGAAAGACTTTAAGAGGTAGTTAAAGCAGAGCTCATCATGGCAACTGAAAATGCCCGACACTCTAAGTCGGGAGAACTGGTGATAAGAGAATAAGAGTATATAGGTGAATATTTCTGTACGAACCTTCAGAGGTAGAGCTGAAAGCGCCTGCCTCGAGACCAGCATTAACGACAGCTTGAAACCTAGAACCTAAGCCATGAGTCGCTGAGCTGAGCGAAGCAGGACCTGAAGTGGCGAGTTCTCTATTAGCATCACCAACCCTGGGAGTTGCAGAGTCGTAACAGCCAGAAGAATACTGATGTAACCCCTCACAGGTGGGTGGGCCTGAGGAATGATTTGATAATGGCGTCGAGGTCGACGAAATGTGGTTGCGTGTCATTGCGGTACTCGTTAGGGTGGAAGAGTTGACTGTCCTAACTGGTTTGGATTGACCAGAAGCGGATTGTGTCGTTGAACGTTTATTGCGGTGATACCCGCAGTTAACAAGTCGGATCGGGAAGGGCAGACAACCGGAAGAACGGTCATGGGAAATAAGTTCATTAGCCCGACCAGAAACAGAGAGGCCAAGCTCGAAGGAATCAGCTAAATATTAAAAAAAGCGGGACCTTACTAGAGGATTAAGTAAAGTACCATATGAAATCATGTTTCAGTTACCTCATAGTCAAGCAAACACTTTTTAGCATATGGAGAACTTAGTAGACATGTGCATAATTAATGGCCTATATTCTAAAAATTA